CCTATCACAAGAGGGCTTAAAAAACAAACCTATCTGGCCCTCCCTGGTGGCGCAGCGGGTTAAAGCACTGCACTGAGAAGCTAAAGCTACTTTCGCATGAGTTCAAATCCCGCCTGCCCCGGAGGAGACCACATGGCGAGGCAGACCTCTCCTGACCCGCCCGCTGCTCCCCTCAGCAGTGTACTTCGTCGATCTGCCTGTTCTGTTCCCCACTCTGTCTCTGGTGAAGCCTCTCACCGCCCCTGAGCCTCTGGCCTGTACCCCAGTTCTGTATGTACAAATAAATAAATCTTTAAAAAAAAAAAAAAAAAAAACAAACCTATCATCGCTTCGTTATGCAGCCAATCCCTTGCCCAGCAACGCCCTACTATAGGTCTTAGTTAAAGATAATTCTTATTTTGGGGCCCTCCCTGGTAGCACAACAGGTTAAAATGTAGCACTATGAAGCTGCTCACTGCAGCATGAGTTCCACCCCTGGCTAAGGGGGTTGACCCCCATGGAGTAGCAGACCCCTCCTGACCCGCCCGCTGCTCCTCTCAGCACTAGTGGGTATTAGTCCATCTGCCTGATCTGTCTCTGGTAAATCTCACCACCACCCCCACCCTCCGAACCTCTGGCCTGTTCCCCAGTTGTTGTATGTATAAATAAACCAATCTAAAAAACATGATAATTTTTATTTTCTTGTAATGTGGATCTCTGCTGCTTTAAATTAATTTGAAGGGAAAAGGGTGCCCGAAAGTTATTTAGCTGACTTAACATTGATGAATTGAAGAAAAAAATATATGAAAGCCCAAATCTTTGAAGGCAGATTTAAATGGCACTATGACTCTATCTTTGTTTTAGACTCCATTTGGAAATGTATAAAGGTGATTTGCTTCAAATGAGATAAAGTGCAGTCTGGAAATGTTTCTTTATGCAGATTGGAGCTAGCAAAGATAAAATACTGAATTTATGGTCTCTTAGAAACATGTTATATGTTAGAAGTAAGGTGCTCTGCATCAAGAGACAGATCATTAGCAGCTGTATATCTGGCACAAAGACAGCAATACAAAGCAGACCCTTGGACATTATTTTGAACAGATTTGGAAGCTTCCATCTGTTTCTTCCCTCAACTCCCCCAAAGTCCTCTGATTTGCTTCAGGCTTCTCCAAACTCAGGACATCTTTAACCTCTCCCCTGTTTATTTCTAATGGATCAGTCAAGGAAAAATGATAGATTTTATTGCAAAAGGGTTTATTTGTATTTTGGGGGCTAGAGCCCAATGTATTTTGGGGGCTAGACTTGGGTAGATCCAAGTCCTGGAAACTTGCACCTTTGTATGTTTGATTTTATGTTTTGGGTAATGAAAGATGATAAGTGTAAAAGTTCCTGAAGGCAGAAAGGTTACTAAATATGGCACAGTGGAGTAAGTATTTACAACACCAAATGTCCCAAAAGATGTGGCCACTGTAAATAAAGCTAAAATTAATATTAAATACATAGCTGTTGATACTTAGGATTTATTGGCTCTTATATGGTGCCAAGTACTATTGCTGAATACTTAAATAAATTACCTCATTTGATCCTTAAAACAGCCAGTGAAATAGACCTTAAATGGACACTTATAGATGAAACTGATGAACAGGGAAGTTTTTAATTTTCTTAAGTTCTTAGTCCTTAAAAAAAAAAAACCCAACTGAAAGCTGGGCAGAGATGCTTTATAGGCACGTCTCCAAAAGACATACAGATGGCCAAATGGCACATGAAAAAAATGTTTACTATCACTTATCATCAGGGAAGTGCAAATGAGAACCCCAGTAATAGACCATCTCACAGCTGTGAGAATGACCCATATCAAAAAGCCCCCAAACAACAAGTGTTGGTGAGGATGTGTTGGTAAGAACGTAGACTGGCCCAACACCTATGGAAAACAGTATAGAAGTTCTATAAAAATACATCTTATGCTCCAGGCATCTCATTCCTATCTAAAGAATGCAAAAACACTACTTTGGAGGGTTATATGCACTTCTATGTTCACTGCAGTGCTGTTTACAATAACTGAGTTATGGAAGTAACCTAAGTGCTCAAGGATAGATGAGTGAATTAAGATTCCATGCATGGAATGCCACAATGGAATACCATTCAGCTATAAAAAAGATGAAAACTTGCCTTTGTGACAAGGATAGAATGGGAGGAAATTATGCTAAGAGAAATAAGCCAGAAGGAGAAACAAATACCAGATGCTTCTCTTTACTGTATACTATGGAGAAACAAAACGAAGAATCAGACAAAACAAACCAAACCACCAACTGGAAATTTGTAAAACTGAGGTCACCAGTGGGAGAAGAGAAAGGCAGCAGGAAAAGGTGGGAGACTATGGTGGAGAACTTAGGTATCTCGGTGGTGGGTGTGGTGTGGCAACATACAACTGAAGATGTAAGAGCCTATATTTGTATCTTACACAGCACTGTAAACAATGTTAGCTTAATTAAAACAATTATTAGAAAATCAAGAAGAAATTAACATACTCTTTTGACTACATAGTTCATCCTGAACTGTCGTATACTTGCTCTGAGTAAAAAAGATTTCAAACTCAAATTATATGTATATCTTCATGGGAGAAGATACTAAGATCACTCAAGTTCTTGCAAAGCAATGATCAGAAGATAATTGTCATGTAGTTAGTCTTCAATAACAACATGTCTGCACATACATACATATATATACACACACACATATAAACATGTATCAATCTGAGACAACGTGATTGACATGTCCGTCACATCTATTGTTAGTATTTGGGTATGTCTGTACTTTTCAGTAGAAGAATTTAAGATTACAGAAACATAGAACCTCTTCAAAAATGAAAAACAACAATAACAACACACAAAACCAGCAGGATAATGACCAACATAATAGGCATAGGAGTTGTTGGGGAAAGGCATGAATGAGTAAAATGAGGCAAAGTAGCAACTAACTGAAAGTCAGATCTTGCGCTCCCAAGTTTTCGACTGTTTCTGAAACTCTTCCTAAGCTTGGCTTTGGAATGGGGAAAATAGCCACCATCAGCACCATAAATATTCATCTCTGCTTTGACTTTTTTTCACTCTGCAAGAAGTTAGCCGAGAGCTGCTAAGCTTGGCAAATCATGCCAAAAGGGCTTCTCCACAGGGCTTTGCCTCTTCATTAGTACAGAACCCAGACTGCTGTTTGAGGCTTTATCCCTCTTTTAAAATAAATCCCACAAAGAAACTGCAATTGAAGCATGCTTGTAAGGGGAGGAATGCAAATGTTGGTACAGAAAATCAATTACTTGGGAAATAACAGTGAGTACAAACCTATGCATATTTTAAACACTGATTATATAAAGTATTTGGATATACTCATTCTTACCAGCTGCACTGCTGAATGTAATTACTGACTTGTTTTGACTTTGCCTAGGAATCGCAGACGCAGGGCCTGACATGACTATGAACGCCAGATTTAGATGTTGTGATTACAGGAGTTTCCAGAACATTGACAATAACTTGTTATCAGCTGCGATGAAATCATATGCAGTAACAGCTCTCTGAAGCAGTATTCAATTAACCAGTTAGCTGGATTAACTGTGGCTTTCCATCCTCTTTGTAAAATATACTGACCAATGCTATAGAAAGCTCCAGATTAATAGGTTTTTCTTTCCAGTAACCCTATGCACTTCTGCTCTTGCTACCACTTGTGCTATAAAAATTTAGGGTCAGTTATGTTTATTCCTAAGCCTGTTTATGCCAGTTTTACTTGTTATTGTAACTATGCAATTTAATATATGAATCTTATATATCCTATGAAATATAGGCTAGTAGTCCTATGAAAACAAAATTAAATGCTTTGGAAAGATAATAAAGGGGGTGTTATTAAGCAAAAATCTGCTGTTAATTACATAAGGAAAAACTTGAAAACATTGGAGATAATAAAGATCTAGATGGAGTAAGTATTCAGATTACTTTAAATTTCACTGTATTTTTAAAAGCAAAACTGGAAATCATTAAGCTGTATATTTTGGGTAAACCTTAAGAAAACAAGTAAAAAGACTTGTAACTATAAGTAACAGAATGATACTTATAGGTCAGGTCTTGGCTTCACCAGTAAGACTGGCAACATTTTAACTCAACATTTGTTATGAACATATAGCAGCTGACATTTCATGAAAGGACTTTTCCCAACAAGCTCTGTTATTTCTCAACTAGCATGGCGGGTCAGAGTGTAGCCCCTGGACCCAGCAACATCACCAGGATGCTTGTGGCATCCAGAATCGCAGGTCTGGCTGGAGTGAGTGCCCAGGTGATTCTGAGACCTACTGAAGTTTGACAGGCCCTGCACCGCTGTATTCTCACACATTGCTAGAGACAAAAAAATGGCTACAGCCCTTTTAGAAAAGCAATATCATATGCAACTCATCAGGAGTCAAACATTTTCTTTTTTTCTGACTCAGCAATCCTACTTCTAGGAATAGTTCCTAAGAAAATAATGAAACAGTAAAAGAAATTTGATTACAGATATCCTGGCATAAAGATATCTATGACTTTACCAGGGAAAATGATCAAACAACTGAAAGCAATCTAAGTAAGAGAAGAATGGTATATAAATGACAGGGAATAAAAACAACAGGCAAAAAGGACTTGCAAATGGACAAAGCATTTATAAAGCTAAGTAAAAAATGTAACATGCATCATGGTTATAATTATATAATCAACTGGGAAATGAATTCTATTGTATTAGGTGTTATTGAGTGATAATTTTGTTTTCATCTTTAAGCGTTATACAAATGTTCATATGAAAATACCTTAATTATATCCTTTAAAAGCACCATTACTTAAAATTCACACTACGCTCTCAACATACAATTTAAAGACTTTTAACTATGTGAAACACCACTGCCATGTGACTAGGCAGCTGTTGCATGCAGAATTCCAAGGTTTAATATCTTTTGTGACAGATGGGCAGTTAGCGAAATCAGTCTTAACTAAGGAGCCTTGCCATACCTGAATTATCTTCATCTTTGCGGATTTTGAGCTTCACCAGGTCTTCACACTGCTGCAGGATCTGAACTGCATCTTCCATGGAACAGTTGTCCAATCGGATGTTATCGATTGCAAGCAGTTTATCCCCAAGTTCCAGGGTTCCAGTTCTGTTAGCAAAAGCATTGCAAGCATGACTGATGACAATCACTTAGCCAGGCCATTAAGAGGCATTAAACATTCTGTAGCATTAGTGTAATCTTTCGAGAAAAAGAGGCTCTTCAGTTGCTTTTAAATTGTATTTTACTGACAACCCCCCTTTTAGCCAGATAGCTGCGATGACATTAAGTTGCAGAGTATTAAAAACATAATTTTCTTATGCTTTCTTCAATGAAACTGGTTCATCCATATAAGCTTCATTCACTAAGTCTAAGGTTCCTGGAAGGCTGTCACGGGCCAGATCTACAGAGCCCAAGCATCCTTATGCTTATGTTTCACTACACCCCTAATCGACACTTCTCTACAGAAACCAGGTGTCCGTTGAACCATTTCTGATGGTGGGCAGTCCAGACACTAGGAACGCTGAGGGCACAGCACAGACATGGAGGAGGGCTGAGATTTGTCATTGCTCATCTTACCATCTGCACCCTGGAAACTCACTGTGCATAGGGAGAAAGCATGGCTCTAAATGCTCCTCATCTGGGAAGTGGTCAATGAGATGCTAACATGGGCTGTGCCCACTGCAGAGCTGATGAAAGTTTTAGCCATCACAAACCTTAAAGGGGTCCTTTCCGGTTAAGAAATGCCTTAGAACAAACCAGAAAAACCATTTTCCTTACCTGTGTGCCACACTGCCTTTCTTGATATCTGAGATGACAAGAGGGTCTCCTGGTTTTCTACTGGATGGTGCTGTAATAATGAAGATTGAATGAGTACATCTTTATATGCATGATTCATCCACTACTATACAGTTTCCCTGTTTTACAGAAACTGTTAACGCGAGTATATTAAAAGTGTATCAAAGCAAAGCTGGTCAGGAAACGAATGAGAACATCTACACAACGTATTTTCCTTGATACAAAAATGTCTGCGTTAAAATTTTATAAACTTAAAAACTCAAGTAAAGACATTTTAAGTTTGCAGTTGCAGTCCCTCCTATCAGGTTAAAATCTATTTTAACCAGTGATTTTCAAGAAGGAAGTGAAGGGTGAATAATCCGATAGGAGAGTATTAAAAACAATTAGTGTTCCCCTTAGTGTATTAGTATGTGGTCCCCTAACCCACCTCTGCCTTCACCCCTTCTCAGTGAGGGGATGCTACTGCTTATGACACTATGTCTCATCATTCAACTGTACTTCATAAGAAAGTGAATGAGAATCACCAATTTATAGAGGTTTTTTTTTTTCCTCACAAGGAGATCTTTGGTTACATGCACTGTGAGTCTTTAAATTTTGTTCACCAGTTCATGCCTAGAATGCTCTGAAATGTTCTGGAGGGTAGCAATTTTATTTTATTGACAATAGTAAGTATTTGGTGCTGCTAAATTATATTTTTTATGCCTATCATTATTTCAAATATGTAAAGGTAACTTTTACTGAATTTAGAGGTTAAGACCATTAGCATTTTTGGGTTTTATAATTTTTCTGAGGTAAATTTCCATGTGATGAGAATGAAAAACAATTAGTAATTAGCATACATAGAATTAAGCCTGAAATGAACTGCCGGCTTCACAAGTATCAAAAAGTCATCTTGACTTAGCAAGCTTACAATTAATTTAGGAGTTTGATACTTAAAAATCAACCACACCAATATTTGTAAAAAAATAATTTACCTCCAGGAGGAGATGTTTTGCCAACCTGAAGCCTACACTGATTTTCTTTCAAATATCAATAAAAGGCCCCTAAAGTGAGATTTTATTATAAACAGTCTGATCACCCTATAAAAATCATAGAACCATACATATCCCATAGTCCCGTATGAATCCCAGGAAAATGTTTATGCACAAGAACAGATGGTTTAATACTGCACCACAACACTGAAAGAAAAAGCAAACACATATACCAAACCTTACTCACAGTCTAAATTAGTCCACAGTAAATGTCAATGGGACTTCATTCAATCATTATTCTTAGCTGCCAGCAAAGAATGCAAAACACCCTATTCACTACAATTAATTCATAACTTAAACCTTTACTCAATGATTTGAAATAATTCCTCTGGAGCAATACAGACATTTAGCATTTTTATGCATGTCATATTTCAGAATGGCAAATTGCTCTGGGCATGAGCAAAGAAAACTTTATTATTGCAATGAGGACAACTTTTCTGGCATCTGCCAATGAACTTACACAATGAATGTTTTGGCATGCTTTAGTTTAGTAACCATCACAGAATACCCAACATTTCCTTGGTTTTAAAAATAATCCACGTTCCTCTGAAATGGTGTAAAACAATAATAAAGGCAACTAAATGCATCAAACCCATCTTTTCCATCTTTGCAACGGAGGAGTATAGTCCTGTGGCCTCTTGGACAAACCCACACAGCTTTGTGGAAAGGGTAAAAAGCTTTTTATGGTCTGCAAACGCACAGAGGCCCTTCACCAGTCTTTTCTCTCTTCTTCATTAGGGTGGATGATCACGGAGTGGAGTTGAACCCAGAGGTGGTGCCAATCTACATGAGTTCCTGACTTTGCCACTAGCGCAGCCACCAGGCACCCTAAATGAGACAATGTTTGCTCAGGTGTGGGCTCTCTATAGCCTCTGCTTCCTCACACCAAGTCTTAAGCCCCCACTACCTGAGAGAATGCCACAAACCAGACATGCTTTGCTTGGTTTGTAGAGCTTTAAAAATCTCATTTAGTTGTTCACATCTAGCATATTTCACACAGGGGTTAGAGGTGATAAGTAGTGTACGTAAGAGCGGGACTCAGCAGCATAGCGATTGGGTTCAAAATCCTGCTCTACCACTGCGCAGGCGTGTGCCCGAGCGCATCGCCTCAGGTGTCTTGTTTTCTCGTCCGTAATGATGAGAAAGGTCATGAAGACTATTAACCATGATTATCTAATAGAGGTTTTTCCGTGGGAGGACGGGGAGATCTGTTAAAGGAAAAAGTGGATGGGTGCTACAGGACGTACTACAAAAGGGTTTTTATTGTTATTACAATGACGAAATTACATTGGGCTCAGTTCCCCACCTTCTGCTTCAGAGGCGCCTTCAGTCTCTGCCACCGTCCTCACCGGACTGATGGCAGCTGACTTCTCACCCCTGGAGGCTTCTGAGTCCATCACCCCCCTGAATGAGAATACACCAACATTTACTCAGCTTTTTGAATTTGATAGCTCTCCATAGAATCCTTCATTTTATTTTTTCTTAAAAATTTATTTATGCATGAACTGGGGTACAGGCCAGAGGTGAGGGGCGTAGGGGGGCTCTCCATAGAGTGGGGAGCAGAACAGGCAGAGGCAGAGTGGGGAGAAGAGCAGGCAGAATGGGGAGCAGAACTGAAATCCTCTGCTGAGGGCAGCAGAGGGCAAGACAAGAGAGGTCTGCTATGCCATGAGGTCAGCTCCCTGGTTGGGGATCAAGCTCATGCTACAGTGGCTGCACAGTGCTCCATAGTGTTGTGCTTTAACCCCTTGTGCCAACAGGGAGGGCCAGGCAATGCTTTATTTAACCCTTATTTATTGAATACCAACTGTGAGTGAGTTGCCTCTGTTCTGGGCATTGGGGTGAAACCCCGGAAAGTTGGGTTAAAAGGGGGACCGGTTGGTGAAATCTTATGGTGTCATTAGGCATGAAACAGTTTTCAATTTTCTACAAAATGTTTCCAACTGGGAAAGACATAGGCGCAGGTCATATGGAGGCAGATCAATATGACTATGGGTCAGGGCTATGACTCAGGAAAGAGATGCAACAACAAGTAATTCGGTTCTGAAAAAGAAGAACTATCAAAACTGCATGAAATCTCAATATATATTGGTTGAGAGTCCAGAACGGAAAGTCTGGAAAAAGAGAAAGAACAAGGAAACAAAATGCCATTTTGTATGATGTATATTAAATTTAAAACTCTTTCCCCACTCATATTTCATAAAAGAATTTTAATTCAAACTCTTCACTGTCTCTTCAATGGCAGCTGTTTTTGTTGCTACTAGAGATACATATGTTGAGTTGTCTACAAGTTTTTTTTCCCAGAACTTACCTCTGTCATATCTTTTATAGCTCTTATGTAATCCAGCAATAGGATGTCGCTGGAAATTTGAACCCATATCACAAGTATCCATTGACAATAACTGTACAATAACACTTCCAGTATTGATATTTGTCATGTAACCTATAGGCAAACAGTCTGGATCCTCACATATTTTTTAAAATTTGCTTTTCATTTTTATTAAATTATATGTGCATACAATTGTTTTTATTCTCTGCTTTGTAGCGTATTTTGCCCTTTAAGAAATGTAATACCATCTAATAAACATCTTCTAATTGTGGGAAGCATACATTTCACAAACTATCTTGTTTCTAGTCTCCAAGATTTTTAAAGAGTTTATCAAAAAGACTCTAAACTCCTGAGCCTTGAGGTTTTGATTACTGTAAATTAATTTCAAGTGGATGCACTTAATTCCCAGCTGTTTTTCTTCTGGAGTGGACTTACCATTTTGAGGTTATCTAGTCCATTGCAAGAATGTTAAATTCTGAGATCTGTTCCATCTTTGGCAAACTTGGTTAAAAAAAAAAAGTAACTTTTTTCCTGCACAATAAGGATGAAGTTACAAGAACATATCCAATATTAAATTATAATAAAAAGTAGCATGGATAATGTGGTTGTGATGCTTACTTTGACCTTAATCTAGTGACTAACTGCAGATCATTTCTGGTTCAATACAAATTAAGCATCACTACAGGCACACTCGACTCTTTAAGGCAACTCTGTACCCTACACTGATTAAAACTAAAGAAGAGGGCCTCCCTGGTGGCACAAGGGGTTGAGTCCAGATACTACCGCGCTGTTGGCGGTCACTACAGCATGAGTTCAATGCCTGCCAGGGAGTTGACCCACCTGGCACGGCAGACCTCTTCTGTCTCACCCACTGCTCCCCTCAGCAGTGTATTTCGGTAGATTTGCCTGTTCTTTTCCCCACTCCATCTTTGGTGAAACCCCTCACCTAGCCCCTCACACCTCTGGGCTGCACCCCAACTCTTGTATGCATAAATAAATAAATCTTTAAACAAAACTAGGAAAGAATAAGTGAAGAAATACATATTCATACTTGATTATATTTGCAAGGAACTACCTTTTTGAAAAAAAAAAACTTTCTGCAAAAATAGTCCTCTATTCTGATTCTTCAGCTATAACTTTTGGCTTTCTATATTGCTACTTAATTTTCAGTGTTATTTGCTTATGAGAGATGAGTTAGTTTATTTCCCACCTCTATGCCATAGCATATTTGTCTATATTTCTACCCCTCCTCCCATTCTTCCAATATGCTCTGTCCTAAATTTTATAGGATCAATATTTACTTTAGTGTGACTGTGTCAACAATATTTGCAGACAAGTCATGATTACTTGCCTTTTCTGCTGGATATATTTTCCCTGTACTTATCTGTTGTCTTGATATCTGTTTGCTTAGTTTTCTTGTGTTTGTCATGAATTCAGCAACTCAGACTTCCCCGGTTATGTAAATCTCTCATTATGTTAAATCATCGCAGCAGTTCCCACCTGATGGATTGTTTGCTTTCTGCAGTTGCTACTCAGATCTAGGCCATTTCCTTCCTACAGACTCCACGTACCCAAAGGTTCTTTTTCTTGTTTAATTAATTCAGTAAGAAGGCCATTAGACTGAGGTGTTTGAAGGCCCTCACAGTCTAATAAGCAAACCAACATCTAAGCCTGTAAATGCCTCAAGTTACA